TTTTTAAACCATTTAAAAATAAAACCAAATAGAATAAAATTAATGTAAACACCATATTAAAAGGACTGAAGGTGACAAAATCCAGAAAAAATGATGTGTGTCTGCAGATCTCTTGAAGGCATCTAAAGAAGACAGACATTTGCTATCTGTCAGGCATGCCTTCTGCAAACCAGGGTCTGAGAAGTCCTCATCCCAAGGGAGGGATGGGACTTGGTCACACTTGAAGAATTTCTTTTGGCAATGTTCATGTGCATGGGGATCATGTAAACTAAAGCATTTTCTTAGATAAGTTACGCCTAACTACCTAGGGTTTTAAAAGTAATAACTAGCAACTAGCCGAAGAACGGGAATTATAATATAGCTTCCCCAAGTTTCTCTAAAAATCAATCATGTTTTCAATTGAATTTTCTGTACCACATGGAAAGACTTCTATAGGATATGTGGTGGCAATACCTGCTGCTGCAGCATACAATAAAACATATCTGAACATATGTGTTATACCTCGCCCGAGGTAATTCTCTTCATGGAATTGACACAACTGAGGTTGTGACAGAGTCATGATTGGTGATAAAGTCTTAGTCTCATCTCAACTTGAAAAGCAGGATGAGACCAGTATCCAAAAGCATTCTCAAACTGCATACCTATTTTTTTCTGGGGAATATAATCTATCCAGAAAAAGAGAACCCGTCCCAGCCACCAGATCATGATCCTTCATAATGAGCATCTTTATCTTTCTTGGATTCAGTTTCAACTATTATCTTTCATTAATCCTATTATTGTTAGAAGATGGACATTTACTAATACCTAAGTTAATACCTAAGACAGGCGACATAGGGAAATAAAGAAGGTCATTCAGATAAAAATTATTGATGACCTCTCCCAATGTCAAAAAGCATTGGAAATGCAATGGAGCCTTGAGATATTCCATATAAGTGCCACCATTTTGAGGAGCAACTGGCACCAAGCGGTACCACATGAGATCTCTGTGAAAGAAGAAAATGGAACCATTGCAATGTACTGTATTCCCACTTCTCTCAAGTAATCCAGAAAACTATTATGGCTAAGCTTATTGAAAGTTACTAAGGAATCCAAGACAAGTCACGCTGTTTCTATCAATCATTTGTTGAAGGTCATCTATAAGGTCAGAGAATGTCTTCTGTCTCCTAACTCCACTGTAAAACTGGTCTGAAGTAAATCCTAGCGTTTCTCAACCATGGCAAGTTTAAGATGTGTGGACTTCTACTTCCAGAATTCCCCAGTCAGGGGAATTCTGGGAGTCAAAGTCTAGACATTTTAAAGTCACCAAGATTGAGAAACGCCGGTCTAGATATTTCCTGCAAGAACTCTTGAAGTTGATTAGCCATTATCGTCCCTAACCCCTTTCCCTCTTCAGATATGTATAACCGTTATTTCCTTTAAACAAGGAAATACTCTCCTCTCTCTGTGATGCATTATTGTTGTCTCCTAAGTCAATTCTCACTACTCCTTACATAACAAGGTCACCCTTATCAGGCATGGATCTATAGAATGGTTGGCAAGCTAGTCCACCCCAAGCAATGCCATATCCTCAGGTACAACATACTGAAAATAATCCAATTTATGAGAATCATTGGAGCCTCTCTTAGCTGACTCCTGCAAAGATACTTGTCAACTCATGTGCAAAAGATTTTATCAGATAACAGCTAATTTGAAAATCACATTAAGACTGATGGATAAGAGACTGTACACTTAAATATGTTTATGAGAAATAAAAATAAAAAAAATATGCAAAAAAAAAGAAAGAAAGAAAAGAAAATCACATTAAGACATTGTTTCTGGGAGCCAAGGGGCTTGAATGAAACTGCTAATTTCCTAGCAAGGCTCTGCTAGAAGCAAATCTGCGTATCGATAGGTGCATAATAAACTTGAAGTCCCAGGGCAGTCTCCTCCAACAACTGACGTTTGTCCCTCAAGTCACCTCTAATCATAACTGCTGACAATTGGAGCAGCTCTCACCCCTTCCAAATTGCTAAACAAAGGGTCATCTATCCTTGCAATATGGCTTCCAAATTCATAGAAAGAGTTTGGAGACATTATACGATCTAGAGAAATAGGAATTAAGAAATAAGAATTTCTTATAAATTCTTCCCTTCCATCAGGCCAACCAGTGATGTGTTGCTGAAATTGCACTTTGTTTAAACACTACTGTTCATTGTTTTCTTTTCTTTTCTCTTCTTTTCCTTTTTTTTTTTTTTTTTTTTTGTGGTGGGATCCTGAAGTTCCAGTCTGCACATCATGATAAATCTTTATTGCAGGGATGCACAGTTTTTCCCAATTCCTCCAAAAATCATGGTTCAAGAGAACATAAATATTTTTTTGTTTCATTCACCTTTAGGTTTAATTTTAATTTCGCAGAGTTATAATCACCTTAGAGTTATGTTTTACATGCTCCTACATATTATAGGTATCTTAGGAGCCAAATCCGAAGAATTTGGAGGCTGCATACAGCTTTAAGACTTCAGATCTTACAAATCTGTTTCATGCTACAAATAAGATGCAAATGCTCTTGCTTTATCATATATATTTGGGGGAGGATTTTGGTGTTTTTTTTACATGGGGAAAATGCTCTAATAAAAAAAATCTCTCTTCCTTTCCAAACTCTGGGAAAGCTTATCTGGTTGGACAGGAGGGGGAGGGGTGTTAAAATAAAAACTAAACAGAGTTAGACCTCATTAGCAATTGACATGGCACCACCAGGAAATCCAAGGCTGTAGGCCAGACCAGGAACTTGACAAAAATACCCTGAAGGAAGGCAAGGGCAACCAATTTTTAAATAGCTGCCAGGAAAACTTCATGGACATATCCATCAAATTGCTAAGAGCTGAGTTTGACTAGAAGGATCCATAATTCTTTTCTACTAAGTTAAAATTGTAACTGGGTAACAAGTAAAGATACCTAAAAGCCATCCCCAAACTTCAGGTGGTGGGGGCTGCACAGGGCTTCCAAAACTTTAGATTGCACACTTCTGCTCTAAAGCACACTCTTTCCTCTTGCCAGGTGCATCTTGAGTATTTTTTTCTTAGGGAAACGGTGTTCCAGTGCCCTTTCTATGCCCTGCAAAAGGCCACATGTCTCAAACGCCAGAAGCATGTTTAATATTGGGAGAAAGTGTATCCCCCTGCTTTATGTCCTGCCTTTGATGCTCAGAAGCACTCTGCTTTGCAGCACAGTTCTAGCTGAAACAGACTGGTCTCCTGACCTTACCGTGGGACGTGTGAAATAGCCAAAGTTTTTCACAGTTTGTCTTAGCATGGCAGGAACGTGACATCTGTGGGAAGCGTATGCCAGGATCACAAGGCAAGCACATGCTGAGCAGCCGAGAGCAATGACACATCCATGCACCCAAGAAGCAGATGTGCTCCCACAAAGGGAGACAGCAACATCCATCAGCTGTACTGGAGCACCGGTATTATGTGCTAGTAGCATGCAGAGACTGTAAATGCGGATGTTAAACTGGAGCACATGGTCATTATGGATTCATGAAGTTGGGCTGTTGCACAGTGGAATTTTGCTTCAAAATGTGCATTTCCACTTTGCCTTATTTTTTTCCCCTCCCAAAAGGCCTGGGGAACTGCAATCAAAAGGTTTTGGGATGCAACACTGTGCCCAAAGCAACCATGTTAACAGAGGTCTGGAAATGGGTTCATATAGAAGAATAATTCATCCATCTGACCCAGGCCATGAACAAGAGAGCAAGTGCCTCCTAATAACTCCAGTAACTGAGTTAAACTGCATGCAGTTGAAAGTCTTCCCAATGTTCATATCCCAAGATGTTACAATGGTGCTAAATTGACACTCCCACCGCCTGATCTTTGCCACAGAGCCAAATGTTCAGCCATTCTCAAAAAGATGCACAAGAAAATGAGGAGGGGAAGGGATTAGGAAGAAATTTATATAAACACACAAGAGACACTTGTGGGATGCATTACCCAGAAGGAAGGACATACTGGGTCTAACTGGAAGAGCCCACTAGTATTTTAGTAATTTAACCATAGCACCTGTGGTGTGAAAAATCAGGGGGAAGCAAGTAGACACCCAGTGCAGTGTTTCTTAACTTCAGAAACTTTAAGATGTGTGGACTGCAACCTGTCTGGCTGGGGAATTCTGGGGATTGAAGTCCACACAAGTTCCTGAGGTTGAAAAACATTGGCCTAGTACAAGAACCTCCTCCCCCCTCCCACCAGCAGTCCTGACTCTGCAGCCAAGCATTTTTCTAAAGATCCTTAAGGATCTTACGTTTCCTCCCCTTGCTTGATTTAATGTACCCTCTTCCTAAAGTGATCTGCTGAAGGCTGAATTCCTCCTTGGCTGGCCCAAGCTCTCCCCCCACCTCCCCCGTCTCTCTGATTTCAGCATCTCCTTTGATGGCAAAGTATGCTTTTTTTCTAACACTACAGAAGAACCCACAATTTTGCCCACAATCCATTTTGGGAGATTTGGGAGGGGAGAAACAGCAGCAGCAGAAGAAAATGACAGCGAGAGTTTTCTTGTGGTGGCATTTCAGAGTCACTGTCACGGGATCCGTCCACTGCCTGCCTTCCTTCCTTCCTTCCTTCCTTCCTTCCTTCCTTCCTTTCCCCCCTCCCGCCACCAGGCGACTCAATCAGCAATTGCTGAGCCCTCATCCCTGGCTTCTCTAGGGCTCTTCCCCACAAACCCCCGTGGAGGCTGGGAGAATGTTGGGAGGGAGACAAGGAAGAGCCCACGGGACCCTTGCCTGCCACCCACCCCCCAAAACCTCATCCTACCAGGTGTGCAATTGTTAACTTGGCCCTTTCCATTGGCATTTCAACATCCCCTTCACCTACAGCAGGTACCTGGTTCACCTGGGCTGCTCCTTTCTCTCCTTGCACACCCATTGTTGTAAGGTGAAAGGGTCCCTTTTCTTTCTCAACACCTTTTTTCTTTCCTCCTCCCCCCCCCCCCCCCCCCCCCCAAAAAAAACCCCGGACATCCCTTACCTTGCAGTGATGATCACGCCAAGGACACTCTTCCCCCACTGTGCAATGTCTCTGGTGACGGATCCTAAATCCTTGAAATCCGTGGGGGGGCCGGCTGGCTGTAGAGAAGGGGAAATATTCCATTCAGTAGTCCCACCCTGATCTTGGAAGATATGGGGTGGGGGGCTGGAGGAGACAACTGCGATCGCGGACGCGGGTGGGGGGGAGTGGGGGTGGGGGTGGGTGGGAAGAGAGAGAAGCCTACGGCTACTTGTAGGCAAGAGACCAGAAGGGACTCTGGGTGGAGGCAGATCGGCTGCTTCTGCGATTCAAGGGACGGCGCTTCCTCCCGTCGGTTTCGGGCTGTAAAACCATCAACGGGATGCGCTCTTCTTCTTCTCGCTTCATTGGGTAATGCAGGGAAGTGTGTTCGGGAAGAGCGCCCTGTGTGTGTGTGTGTGTGTGCGTGTAAGGAAGGAAAGGGGGGGGGGAGAGAGTAGGAAATCTCCTGCTACTGCCTGCTGGAGATCCACTGGGTCACAAAGCCTGACGTGTTCCGGCTAACTTTGAAAGAGAGGAGTTTGGAGAAATCCTCAGCGGCAGAGAAGAACGTGTCACGCGGATGGGGATGGGCAGGGCCTCTCCTGACCCAATTGCCGGAGGACTTCATCGTGTCCTCCTTAGATTTAAATCCTGCCTTTTCTCAAGGGGTTTTCCAGGTAGCTTCCATAACGACCTTTTTTTTTAAAAAAAAAAAAACCTTATCAGCACAACAACCTTGAGAGGTAGGTTGTTACCAAGAGAAGTTTGGGACTCTTGTGCCATCCTTTAACTGCTACCTCAGTTAGCAGTTGTAACTACGTCCTCACTTAGTCTCGCTGCTGGGTCGTGAGAGAGTTGATGGCAGGAATGGTGAGAAAGGATAAGGGCGTCACAGAAAGGATAGGATAGAATAGAATAGAATAATAGAATAGAATAGAATAGAATAGAATAGAATAGAATAATAGAACAGAACAGAACAGAACAGAACAGAATAGAATAGAACAGATACTCCTGGGATTTCTGCTACACCAGGGAATTGAAAATTGTGCTGATTTTAGGGGTTTAAAAATTGCCTCTCTTTTTAAAGGCAACTGGCTGCATAAGGAATGAAAGTGGCGGCATCTATGCAAATAATAAAACATGGCACGCTTACTTACCTGTAGTTGGCTAATTAAATCACAACTGATGTAGTGAATCTTAGAATCATGGAATTCGAAGGGAGACGGCCGTTACACCTTTCGGCTCTGTCCAAGAAAACCAATTAAACAATCTATGAGAGAGGACTGAAGAGCCTCTACTTAAAAATCCCCAGAGATGAAGAAGAAGAGAACCCTTCATTTCAGTTGATAAAACACTTTGCTGTTGTGTAGATCTGACAATAAGGAAGTTCCCCTTTAGATTAAGTGAACTACAGATAACTGTAGCTTGTGCACATTATTTCTGGTCCTATTTCTTTTCCTGTTTCCAACCACCTTTCCCAGGCATTTTATTTACTTGAACAGATCATCCTAAATTCCTTCAACCATGAACATGTCCCAGGATAATGTTGCAGGAGCCATAATCATATAATCATAAGTTTATTTGTCAAGGATATATAAGATAAGAGGTAAAAGTATAAACATAATTTGAATACATGAAAAGAGTAAGTAAAAAAGGAATATTAGACAGGGATGGTAGGCACGCTGGTGTGCTTATGCATGCCTCTTACAGACCTCTTAGGAATGGGGTGAGGTCAACAGTAGACAGTTTAAGGTTAAAGTTTTGGGGGTTTGGGGAAGAAACTACAGAGTCAGGTAGTGCATTCCAGGCATTGACTACTCTGTTACTGAAGTCATATTTTCTGCAATTGAGTTTGGAGCAGTTTACCTTGAGTTTGTATCTATTATTTGCTCGTGTATTGTTGTGGTTGAAGCTGAAGTAGTTGTTGACAGGAAGGACATTGTGGCAGACTGGGACCAGAAGTTTTAGTCTTTTGAGCTTTGGGACTTGTGCTGGAGCCCATCCTCAGGGAACTTCTCTCTAGCAGAGTGTGGACTTTTGGCTATTCTGTGTGTGGTGGTAGACCTTGATTTACAACCATAACCGGGACCAGAATTTCCGTTGCTAAGCAAGACAGTTATGTGAGTTAAACCCGATTCTATGGCCTTTTATGCCATGGTTGTTAAGTGAGTCATTGCAGTTAAGTAAATCCAGATCCCCCCCCCCTTGACTTTGCTTGTCAGAAGCCAGCTGGGAAGGTTGCAAAGGCTAGTCATGAGACTCTGGGATGCTGCAACCATAGTAAATCCATGCTGGTTGCCAAGCGCCCAAATTTTGATCATGTGCTAGTAGGGATGCTGTAATGATGGTAAGTACAAGGATCTGTTATAAGCCACTTTTTTCAGTGTCATAATGTTGAATGGTCGCTAAATGAATGTCAGTTGAGGATTACCTGTAGTTATAGTCTCATCAAAGTGCAATAGGAATAAGGAATTGTGTATCTTTGATCAAGTACTTCTGATGCAACTTTTCTTAACCTTGGCAACTTTAAGATGTGTGGTCTTCAATTTGCTGGCTGAGGAATTCTGGAAGTTGAAGTCCACACATCTTCAACTTGCCAAGTTTGAAAAACACTGCACTAAAGCTAGCATGGACATCCAAAAATGCTGCCCCTGGTCCTGTGGGAAGAGCTCTTCTGGCTTCCTAAAAATCTTCAATGATGAGGCAGAAGCAAGAAACGAAGTTCAAATCCAACCTGACCCTATTTCCACCCAGCAGCTATTTTGCTTTGAGCCCCACCTGCCCCCTAGGCATCTTTCCCTTCAAATTATGACAACCAATAGGAAATTGCTCAGTGTTGCTTTGTAATCAGAAATGTAAGAAACTCTGCCCTCCTTAGGGATGAGAAATTTGTAATCTTCCAGTTATGGCAGAACTACAGTTTACATCGTTGTGGATGAAGAATGCTGGAATTGCAGATCAGCTGAGCTGGAGGATCATGATTTCCTAATCCTTAAGATTTTTCATCCCTCAGTCCAAATTTGTCTTCTTTTTATGTATTTAGCAGAACAGTAGCAAATGTTTGGAATAGCCTCAACTGATTAAACAATTGCAAACCATACCTTAAGTGGGCCTCAGTGCATCCATTTTTAATCAAAGACTGCACTATTAATTTCACATGCCGATGCTGAATTCAAACAATATTTTGTAAAATAAGGCATTTTTTTCTTCGTTGTTCATTTTTATCTCCCCAGATGTCCAAGAAATTTTAGATTGGTGTATTGGCACATTACATTTAACCATTTTCTGGATCATCCAATACATATGTATGGCCATAAATAATCAAATGGACTGGGATCACATTATAAATCAAGCATGTATAAAAATAAACAAGGTTAACAAGAACCACAGTTAATGTGTTTAAATGTATTCTCTTTCATTAATCTGGGTAAATGCACGCGGTGTACATATATGTAGTCCAGTAGTCGGCTTCAATTTAGTTTGCTACTGGTTTGCTCGTGCACGCGTGCTTGCACATTCACAGAAGCGTCCGGGTGGGTGGGCGGAGCCTCCTGCCGCTGCCGCTACTGGTTCGCCTGAACCGGGGCGAACCGGTAGCAACCCACCACTGATGTAGACCTTTTCTTATAACCACAATTGGGACCAGAATTTCCATTGCTAAACAAGACAATTGTTATATGGATTTGCATCCATTTTATGATCCTTTTCGCCAGAGTTACTAAGCAAACCACTGCAGTGGTTAAATGAATCATACAGGGGTTAAATGTAGATTTCCCATTGACTTTGCTTGTCAGAAGCTGTCTGGGAAGGTCGCATACAGTGATCACATGACTCCAGAACACTGCAACTGCATAAATACACACCAGTTGCCATGTGCCCAAATTTTGGATCACATAAGTGTGGAGATGCTGCGACTGTTGTTAAGTGCGCAGATTGGTGTAAGTCATTTTTTTTCCAGTGCCATTGTGATGGTTAAATGAGTAGTTGTAAGGACTATCTATAGCCCTAGTAAGTTTTCTTGAACTGGCAAGGAATGTCTTCCTGTTATTATACGTACATTAATCACACGATATACTGTAAACGAACAATAGATTGTGGCATTCATGGCCCTGGAACCTACACGTGTGTCTGAGCAGTTGTTTATTTAATTCAATTCTACTTTGTCTATTGAAGAGCACCCCAATACATCGTTCTGAAGCCCATGTCATATGGGTTTCAGGGAAAGAGGAGGTTGGAAATTAACAATAATTGTCTCTGGCTTTTGTGATTCCTGCAGACTTTGTTCCTTTCCCAAAACCAATATGTCTCTGCTGACCTCCAGGATTCGTTTCAACACCATAAACTTACTGCAAGTCGCTTCCTTCATTTCAAGAGCTGCCCATCGGTCCACCAATGCCCTAGATGAGATCTACATTCCCCTGGTTGCTTTCTTCCATGTTAGCATCGCTGTTATCTCTTGGGATGGCCAAAGATTATCCAAAGAGATATCGCTTCTCAGTGTGGTCCAAAGTATGTCCCTCAAGAGACAGTTTCAGACAAATTTTCATCTAAGGGTGAACACTTGGATCTCGGCACTTTTTGCAGATGCATGCCTATCCACCCAAACTGCACCATTAAAATTCGACATAAAAATGCCAGAAATTGGTGCTTTGTGCTGGTCCTCCCCCAAATGCTCTGATACTCTTAAAAAGGCATTTAAGTCAAGCTCAACACCTGTGACATGAGAGCATGCAGTTTTCCAGGCCACAATATGGATGTTTTGTTATTTTTGCTTGTATGCTGCCCTTCTCGCCTAGGTATCTTGCTTGCCATTGCTTTCTCTCAGGATATTTTAGTCTCCAGCCACATACTTATTTGTCCTGAGCCTCCTTAGCTGAATCCTGTCAGCCAAGTGCAACTGCACCAACGAGAAAAACTCTTTAGCATTCCCCTCTCTCACCATGAACGTCTTTATAATATGCCACTCTATATATAATAGTACTGCATATACTGTAGAACCACTGTATATAACAGTAGGAGGATTATAACAAAGAGTGCAGAGAAGAGCAACCAGGATGATTAGGAGACTGGAAACTAAAACATGAAGAACGGTTACAGGAACTGGGCATGGTGAAGAGACGGACCAGAGGAGACATGATAGCAGTGTTCCAATATTTGAGGGGCTGCCACAGAGAGGAAGGGGTCAAGCTATTTTCGAAAGCACTGAAGGCCAGACAAGGAATAATGGGTGGAAACTGATCAAAGAGAGATTCAATCTAGAAATTAGGAGAAATTTTCCGACAGAACAATCAACCAATGCAAAAGCTTACCTTCAGAAGTTGTGGGAGCTTCATCACTGGAGGCTTTTAAGAAGAGATTGGACTGCCATTTGTCAGAAATGGTGTAGGGTCTTCTACTTGGGTGGTTGGTTGGACTAGATGACTTACAAGGTCCCTTCCAACTCTGTTAATCTGTAATCTGTAAAATCCACAGAGCTCTCAGAAATGGAAAAATGGTGTATGTGTGTGATTGAAAATTCCTACCTGCCTATCATAGCAGAATAGTCAAAAAGACAAGAAATTGATGGAGTTAGCAGAGATAGTTAAAGGTAGTGAACTTTGCCTTATGCAAAAGTGAACGAAACAATTGGGGCTTAAAGAGACCCACAAATGAGGGTTTATCGGGTGGCAAATCCTCGTCATCAGAGAGATTCTGCTTTGATTACAGAAAAATAAACACTTTTCTTTCTCCTTGGAATTTACTTCTGGACTTTGTGCTTGAGGTGGAAAAAAAATGAAACTTTTGGGTTTTGCCAATTAGATAAGTTTGTTGTTATAGAAATGGCTAGTTTGTATTACTAGGTAAAAATAAAAGTTGAGGTTTGATACTATTATCTTTTTCTACTGCACTAAAGGGAAGTCAATGCCTTTTTTCCTCTTCCTTCCTTTTGCCGTACACTTTTCCCTTCCCTTTCCCCTCCTTTAGTTTCCCACTATTTTCCTTTGTATTTTATATTATAAACTAATCAAAAACAAATTATAAAAAAGACAAGATATTGAATAAAATGTCAATCATTTGTCTAGAAACATGATGTTTTTTAAAAAAACAAATGGGAGCTGTGTTGGTTAGGAAAAAAGCAAGTCATTTGTAGATGATCACACTGTATATATGCCTTTATGTGGATGCCTCTGTGAGTGGGAGAGAGAGAGAGATTTCTTCCCGCCCATACAGTTTTCCCACTGGAACCATAAAGGGGAAAATGTCTACTTTTTCAACAACCTTCAGTGACTGCATAGATACAGCTGCTGATTTGAAGTCAACGGCACAAGACGGTAAGCCAGAAGGCTGCGATCACAAGATGATCTGAGACAAGGAAGGGAGAAATGTCAGGTTCTTGAATGAAAGCCTTTAGGGGAGCCAGATAAGGGTGGGGGGGAATCACAAAGCAACTGTTGGAAGCCAGGCACTTCAACTGTATTGCACAAAGCTGAAAAGCAGAGACAGTGCCACAGGGGAATCCTTTGTAGCAACAGCTGCTGCCTGCATTTTTCTTTCTTCTGGCAAGATCTTCCACCTACCAGGGCAGGAGGTGACAGAAGCCTGGGGCATCCGACAGGCCATTTCCAAAGCATGTTGTGTCACATAAAATCAGTCGTGATTACTTCGTGTCAATAGGACCTAGTCACAGAGACAGCACCCTGTCTGGCCTTGCCTTTCTTTAAATGGTTTGTTGGTTGTTGAACAACCCAAAAGTCAAGACAAAAACTAAAAATACAGAATTAGAAACAAGAAAATGAACTAAAAACAAGGCCAGCAACAACATTGGGAATGAATTTATGCACACATATGTAAATCTTCAGCAAAAAGTTTTAAACCTTCAGTGACTATATAGCTTTACCACAAATGTTTGTATAGAAAAAAGCTAAACTATTAGGAAAGATTTGGTTAATATAGCCAAGAAATGGTGGATCTGAATAAATGTCTGTTTAATTTTAGGTTTCAAAGACATAATCCAGAGGTTCCAGAATATAGGGATTTATCACGTTGACTTTTGTCGTGGGCACGATTTAAGTGTGTTAAGCCTATCCAAAGCACTTTTTGTTCAAGTTTGGCAGGAAATTGTATTGGGTAATGATTTAGAATAACAGAGTTGGAAGGGACCTTGGAGGTCTTCTAGTCCAACCCCCTGCTTAGGCAGGAAACCCTACACCACTTCAGACAAATAGTTATCCAACATCATCTTAAAAACTTCCAGTGTTGGAGCATTCACAACTTCTGGAGGCAAGTTGTTCCACTGATTAATTGTTCTGTCAAGAAATTTCTCCTTAGTTCTAGGTTGCTTCCCTCCTTGATTAGTTTCCACCCATTGCTTCTTGTCCTGCCTTCAGGTGGTTTGGAGAATAGCTTGACTCCCTCTTCTTTGTGGTAGCCCCTGAGATATTGGGAACACTACTATCATGTCTCCCCATATCCTTCTTTTCATTAAACTAGACCTACCCAGTTCCTGCAACCGTTCTTCATATGTTTTAGCCTCCAGTCCCCTAATCATCTTTGTTGCTCTTCTCTGCACTCTTTCTAGAGTCTCAACATCTTTTTTACATTGTGGCGACCAAAACTGAATGCAATATTCCAAGTGTGGCCTTACCACACTTTAAGAGCTGACCAACTGCTACGATGATGTAATACTGGGAATGAGCCAGCAAAATTTCTGTTGTTAAGTGAGACATTTGTTAAATGAGGTATGCCCCATTTTACGACTTTTCTTGCCATAGTTGTTAAGTTAATAACTGCAGTATATAAGTTAATAAGATGGTTGTTAAGTGAATCTGGCCTCCCCACTGACTTTCCTTGTCAGGAGGTTGCAAAAGGGATCACATGACCTTGGGAAAACAGCAACGGTCATAAATATGAACCAGTTGCCAAGTATCTGAATTTTGATTATGTGATCATGGGGATGCTGCAAATGTCATAAGTGTGAAAAATGCTCATGTCACTTTTTTCATTGCCATTAATTTTGAACGGTTACTGCTGTAAATCGAGGACTACCTGTATCAAGGAGCTCCAATTTAATTGGAATTTAAATTCCAGCAAAAAATAAATAAAAATGTTGCTGTTTGTAATTGGCTGATTTGACTCATTCTTAATTCCAATTCCGGTTGTCTCTAGATATGATGGCATTTCCCCTGAAAGAACAAATTCCAGGTTTTGGAGGAGATGAGTTGGAGCTCCTCCTGGTGCAATCATCACTCAAACAGGTCAAAACCGTGGTCGGACATGCTGAATTTTGGCTAGCATGCCAGTTGTGGAACTTTGGGAAATCAGTATGCCCTTTCAACACGTGAGTCCCGCCCTTGCCATCTCATGGTTAGACGACTGCAGTGGGCTTTTCGTAGGACTGCCCTTGGAGATGATTTGGAAGCTGTAGTTGGTTCAAAATGCAAAGGCTCAACTGCTGACAGGAAGAATCGGGTTAGTAGCACGATACCTGTGCTGTGAGGTTACTTCATGATTACCTATAGATTTCTGAGTCCAATTCAAGGGTGGTTCAACCTTTAAAAATCCTACATGGTTCAGCATCCATGAATTGTTTAGCTGTCTCTCCCAACAAGAATAAACCTTGATTTGTCTTTGGTATGTGTCTCTGGTATCACCCCTCAGCATTTCTGGTTATTGTGTTCTACAATTGCCTTCCCTAATCTGATGCTTATCAGCTATGTTGGGCTCAGCTCCCAGAATTCCCAGTTGGCTTTCAAACACAAAGCAGTTTTGCTCACTCTGAACTACCCTTTTGGATGCAGGAAACTCATTCATATTACAGCAGGGGTGTCAAACTCGATTTCATTGACGGCTGCATCAGGATTGTGTTTGACCTCGGGGGCCCAGGGTGGATGTGGCCAGGGAAGGCGTGGCCAACTTGACATCACTCGTGTCGGGGGCACCTGTGGTGGCCTGAGCGCTCTGCCAGAGAAAACGGGCTCCCAATCTTTGTTTTCGGTTGGGATGGCCTCCTGCAACCCTCTTCCAGCGAAAACTGAGATCGGGAGGGCTGCTGACAGAGGCACCTTCACTGTCTCCAGGCCAGTGGTGGGTTGCCCCTGGTTCAGACTGGTTCGCAAGAACTGGTAGTAAAACCGGCAGGAGGCTCCGCCCACTGACCTGGACTTCATCATAGGTGAACTGCGCATGTGCGGGCATGATGCAAACTGGTAGTAAAGATAAATAGAACCCACCCCTGCTCCAGGCCAGCCCCATGGGCCAGATCTAAGCACCCTGCGGGCCGAATCTAGCCCGTGGGCCTTGAGTTTGACACCCCTGCATTACAGGCTTAAGCCATTTTGGTTATTCCATGTCTGCAAGGGAGAAAACAAACAAACAGAAATCTCATTCATCAAACTACAATACCAGGATTTATTGGGAGTAGCCATGACCGGTAGGTACAAAACCAATCGTATATTTGTTGTGTGGAGATACTTAAGATTTTGTAGAGAACATACACCATCCATTTGTAATAGACTGTACCCAATTTATCCTATTTGTCCTACCTTTATACAGTGTATTTAATAAATTGGCTACATCATCACCTGCCTCCCTTACACCTTACATAATTAGTTAACTAGGGCAGCACGTTAATCACACATGTAATTTTCCCAATGTTCTGTCTCCTGAGATCCAATATTTTGCATAAAATGTTTCTATTGCAGTAATCATATATTAAAGAACTATGCAATATTTTCTCAAGTTACAGTACTACAAACATCGTAACACCATAACATCTAAACTCACTGTAACATCTATTTCTGCATAACCAAAGCAAGCCAACATAACAAAGCAAAGCCACCAGAAAGCAGAATCCCTACACCATTCTAATGACAAAAATCAAGTACTGAACTTTACTTTGCCTCACCCCCTGCCCCTGTCACCAGCCAGTTTGGGGGGAATGAGCATCCCATTGAAACTTTACAGTACAGATATATACTGTATGATGAGCACAACATCGGATCACACGTTGAAGAGATTAGCTGTAGAAAGAAGGCCTCTGTGTTAGATGGAACATCCATGGTGCCAGTAAAATATTATATCCCTTCGTTAACCATGGGTTATTATAGATGGAGAGCAAGCACACCACATAGGTAAGACACATGAACGGGAAAGCTGATCAGAAAAAAAAAAGTATTACTGATTTAAACTTTCCCCTAAAGAAGTACTGCATTGCTCAAGGATTTGTTCAGAAGAGAGGTCATTGCCTTTGAATGGGTTTAAACTTCGGTATTTAACTTTTATAGTCTTTGGTTTTCATCTCACTCTTTATTGTTTTGTGTTATATGCAAACCTGTCTCCAGGAGGGTTTCTCAGGTTCCTACCCTGAAGGATGGATCGGAAATAAACAAAATAAGAATCTGATCTCTCCCAGTAACTAAGAAGCTCCAGCTGTACTGGAAGACTTAACAGCAGTTTGGCTTGTATTACAGCCTAAAAGTAGGAATCCCACTAAATGTCTTGCCTCCCACTTCCTTAGTTCTTTCCCGTTGCCATTCCTGACAGAACACGGCCAATTGTGTAAATTACATTTATTGCTGATACAAAGCAAAGCTCAGATCCATCATCCAATTCCGCCCTCCTCCCAGGGGTCGAATGGTTCTGAATAGATGGGGGGGGAATCGTCTTCTACTCCCCTCTGGACACATCTCATGGCATCCTGTCAATAGAATAACAGCACCAGGTCCACCAGGAAAAAAAATATATGGATGCAGTAGCAGTTTCAAACAGGTCTGGGCCTTGCCTGCTACTTTTATTTCATTTTGGTCTTTGGCCACCAGCTTTATTGATGTTGGGCATGTGGCTTCACCTCACTGATCTGGAGGTGGAAGAGCTCCAAAGCATTTATTCTTGTAAAACAGCTTCCATTTGTCTCATTGCAAGAGACACATCTTGAAAATGCTATGGTTCTAAGTTTCTAGGTCATCCTTTTTACTATCTAAATGTTGACAAAAAGATAACTACTGTATGTGCCTTCCTCCATCCCACCCTGCCGATGGGAATTGGCATTGAGCTCTGGCAGGAAGTCCTTTAAAACTAGGAGAAGCAGGAGTCTTCTATGACTTCACTTAGTCTTAGTACATCCAGAAGTAATTGGTAAGTCAGAGTAAATGGAGCTCTGCATGGAAGAGTCAGAGGATCTCTGCCTGGGACAACTTCCTTGAGGGCCAGGCACAAATCTTCATGACTTGGGATCCTGCAGCTTCAGAGTGTCACTGGCCTCTTTGCTATGAAACTAACAATCTTGAGCTAGCACTGCAACTTCGAATCCCTGAGTTACACAATGCCATCATGCCTTCTGGATCGTCTAATAGCAATAGCCCTTAAGACTTATATACTGCTTCACAGTGCTTTACAGCCCTCTCTAAGCAGTTTACAGAGTCAGCCTATTGCCCCCAACAATCTGGGTCCTCATTTTACCCACCTCGGAGGAAGGATGGAAGGCTGAGTCAACCTTGAGCCGCTCAGAATCGAACTCCTGGAGTGAGCAGTGAGTTAGCCCTGCAGTACTGCATTCTAACTGCTGCGCCATCACGGCTCTTGCCCAGCATATGGCAGTTGTACAATGACAACACAAACATATCTGTGGTTATTTTATTACAGGAATTAGGCTAAGCTGAAAGCAGGATGCTCAAGAACTCCCAGTTATTAAGAGGCAGATGACAAAGTGGTTATTATGGTTCTACTGATCTGTCAGCTAGGGGTATTGAATTTGGCTTGCCTATGCAGGTCACTGAAATCACAGCCTTTAGACTTTCCAAAGGAGATTCAAGATGCAGGCAAAGAGCCAATGAAGACATTTACGACCCAGTGGGACTTCTTGATTAAGCCATGAACCCCAAGATGTTCATGAAGGAACTAAGAGTTTGGAAATGCAGTCTGAGATATCTGACCGAAAAGAGCCAAGGTCTCGTGTGGTTATGAAGCAAGCATGATGGAATTGCAGGTAGTCCTTGATATACGACTGTAATTAAGCCCAGTAAGTCATTACACCGTAAGTCGAGGCAATGGCACTCATGTGACTGGAAAAATTATTTTCTGGCCTTTTTTTACAGTAGTCATTAAGTAAATGTGGTTGTTAATTTGAATGGGACTTTTGCTAGAAACTGGCAAAAAGCATCATGAATCATGGTCATTAAGCAAGGACTCCCTATAGGATCATAAGGACTTGCCCAGTGAAATATATATTTCTGATTTTGACAGGCATAGTTTGACCAGAATTTAAGAGTAAATTCTACTGAGTTGCCTATTATGTTCACAGATGAGTGATTCTTTAAATTCCAAATAAGAAAAGGACCAAAAGGTGCTTTTTCAAGAGGCAACTGGACTTTCTGGTTTTTCTTTGAAGATGTTTTGTTTCTCATCCAAGAAGCTTCTTCAGCTCTGACTGGATGGTGGGGAATGGAAGATTTATACTCATTGCAGATGGCTGGTCATTGTACATTGGGGAAACAAAACAACCACTTCATAAAAACATGGCACAACATAGGAGAATAAACCCATCAGGACAAGATTCAGCAGTCCACCTGCATTTAAAAGACAAAGGCCACTCTTTTGAAGACAGCAAAGTCCATGTTTTGGACAGAGAAGACCGCTGGTTTGAAAGAGGTGTCAAAGAGGCCATCTGTGTCAAAACAGCCCTCTCTCAACAGAGGGGGAGGGATAAGGCATCATCTCTTTCCAGTCTACAGTCCTTTCAACAGTTCCAAGAAGGCTCCACATCCATTTGCACTACACAGGTGACTCTGACAACACAGATAAACCTCCAGGTGGCCTCAAAGACTCTCTAAAAGAATGCAAATGACTAGCTGGCTGCAAGGAATATAAATCCTTCCATTCCCCACCATCCAGTCAGAGCTGAAGAAGTTTCTTGGGTGAGAAGTGAAATGTCTTCAAAGAAAAACAAGAAAGTCCAGTTGCCTCTTGAAAAAGCACCTTTGGGACAACCATGACCTGGATGATTGAGATTCTCCATCGACAAATAAGAAGAGGCTTTTCCACCAAACCCACAATGTTATCTTGGCCTAGTTCTATATACAAGTTTCAAAGGCAATGCAGCAGCCCACTGGAAAGTTTATGCATGCTCCTTGTGCGGGGGTAGGTGGATGGAGGAAACCGAAGTCTCCCGGGAATAGCCTGCACAATTGCAATGCAGGATTTACTCAGAGGATCTCCTAGACACCACATCTCCCAGATTGGGTGGGAAATAAAACAGCTACCAGAAAGAGGACAATGGAGATGGGGGCATAGGAGAAAAAAGGCAGACAAGCCAGGAGGCAGCTGACATGGAGGGAAAAGACCATCTTATCTTTCCTTAGACAGAACATGTTAGGGGGCTAACGGTGAGACCTGAATTCCACATAACGTGTTTCACAAACTTTAAGTTTGAAGGGCATAGATCCTTGCTAAAAGTTATACTGTGGTGAAATGAAGATGGTTGGAGTGGAGAGCCCATTTCAGCCACACTGGGGTATGGCTTGAATCTGGCACATTTATGTGGTGGCAGAAAAATATCACTGTTTCAAGTTTCCAGAGAGATTCCATTACAGAGATGGCAAAGAAGGGCACTGTAGGAGTTTGCCCAGTGAGATTGACATCCAGGTCAAGAGGAAACTGTAACTGGATTAAACTGCCAGGATAACCAAACTGCCTTTTCTGCTGCCTTTTTTCTTTTCCCAGTCTTGCTACCTACTATTCTTCTTTACTTCTAAAGCCACTGTCTTGGCTGCCATGTTTTCTTTTCAAAGAGACCACATATACACAAAGCTATCAGAACCCGCTGTTTAATCGGCAGCACAGGAAAAGAGAATATGGAGCTGTGGTGCTGACTGATGCATGCAGGGGCAGCAGTGCCTCTCAATTTTCATCCCTGGGAGCTCGAAGAGCAATAGATTGTCTCTTCAGCTACAAACCCTCAGGTGTCCACAGGATTAGGTTTAGTGAATGGGGGATTTTCAGTCTATAAGGAAGGGCAGGCAAGGAGAGGCCTTAAATAATAATAATAAACTAGAATTCGTACCAGGTAATCGAATTTCCCAAGGTTAAATCAATAAACCAGCATTGGTTTCCTTGCAAAAGTTGTACAACTAGTCTTGTTTCAATGCCCCTCCTTTATTCCTGCTTATTGTAGACAGCTGGTTCATTACAAAAATTAATCAGCAGTACGCAAATACAAAAGAATAATAAAGTGCAGTGTGTGTGTTTTCTCTCAGATGCCTCTGGCTAGGCAGAGTGTATGTGTGTGTGTGTGCATGTGCATTTATTAAAACGAAGAAGCATATTACAAAATATTAACCAGAGGCCGACAGTGGTTTAGAAAATGCAAAGCATTGGCACGAGATGAAGAAGCCACAGGAACAAACGAGACGGACATGGCACACAGGACTGCAAAAACAGCTGATGCGGAGTGGTTACAAAATTCTCACAGATGCTAAAAGTATCAAATGCAACATCCCCTACTGTTACCGGCACGTGGACACTACTTGCTACCTTGGTTTAACCTCAGCATCTGGAGCTGAGATCTCGGACACAACACAGAGCTGCTTTTCCCAGATCGAGGGAAGGAATGTTCTTGACCTACACCAACACACGGGCGATGGCAGTAGATGTGGAGTTTGCCCCCGCTCCGTTTCCCATGTGGTGAGGTGCTGGCAGTGGTGGTGGTTTGACAGATCAGTTTTTCAAAATGGCATCGTAGACTTGGTAGACGTACTGGGAGACTTCAGGGGCTCGGCACTTCAGAGACAGCTGTTGGAGAAAAGAGGGAAGGGGAATTATTTCAGGAGCCCCTGAGCAATACAACAATGGTGGACTGTTGTGGGGCAGAGCTAAAAACTTCATGAAGATAGCAAAAGTCCCTTCAATTCAACACCATGTCTGGCATTACTAATCAGAATTTAGATTTTCTTTGTGTAAAAAAAAAAAAAACTGGCCAGGAAAGCTTGCCCAACATGCTAAACCTCTGTGTGCTGCGTGGTTGATGTATTCTAATCAGACCATCACATTCAACAATAAAATCGCATATTTATCTGATTGCAGCATGTTCTGCCAGCACAACTGCCCTTCATTAACCTGGCTTGAGGATTGAGGGTGAAACCAGCCAATTTTCCTCTTATGTATAAGGGTTCAATCATTTCATGGAATAAATGAGAGGAAAGGGACTTGGTGCCTACCAGATGGAGTGAATTCCAAGCCTAATCAATTATTGCCAACCTGACCATGATAACAAAGACAAATAAATGTTGGAGACGTGCTCACTGGACAGGCCCAAAATTTGTCAGTCAGTGGATTCATTAAAGATGATTTTCTTTAATCAGGCAACAGCTTTAGTATTTTCATCTGTCCTCCAGATTTTCCAAAGGGATAATTTGAAATGCGGTTATGATATTTAACTGAACTTCTTGAAAAGAAGTAAGTCAGAACTTACGGCAGTTTGTTTAGCGACCGTTCAAAGTTAACCATGGCATTGAAAAAAAGTGACTGGTGACCATGTTTCACACTTATGACCATTGCAGCCTCCCCATGGTTAGGTGATCAAGATTCAGATGCTGGGCAACTGGCTTGTGCTTATGACAGCTTCAGTGTCCCAGGGCCATGTGATCATCTTCTGCGACCATCTGATGAGCAACGTCAATGGGGAAGCCAGATTCACTTAAGATCTGTGTTACTAACCTAACAACTGCAGTGATTCACTTAAAAGAACTGTGACAAGAAAGATTGTAAAATGGGACAAAACTCACGTAACAAATGCTTCACTTAGCAACCGAAATTTTGTGCTCAACTGTGATTGTAAATTGAGGACTACCTGTACTTCCTTTTAAGTTGTGAGCACCAGCTCAGTGATAGTTTCCCCAAGGAAATAGCAAGTTAAGACAGAAAGAAGAAAGGTGAGATTGAAACAAGAGCCTAGAAGTTCAGGGCATTGTTGCCTCAGCAACAGGACCTTACCGTATAGTTGGGATTGCCAGGCTGAATGCGTAGTTCGGCCAGTATCCAGATGCCATTGGTAAGCTTCAGTGACTGGTACAGCATGTCCTGGCCTTCCACATTTCTCTTGGCAATGGTATATATGTTGTTGTTCTGGAGCTTACTGGAAACAGTATCTAACAGAAGAAAGCAAGCCCCGTTAGATTTTGGAAACCTTCCAAGCATATCACCTGTCTTGAGATCATACCAAGCATATCACCTGTCTTGAGATCATACCAAGAGACAATCTAGAAAATTGTAACAGTATAAATTGCTATCACTGGAACATGCTTCCTTGCTTGCTGTGCCAGCGTTCTCTTCGTGCCAACTATTCGGGCCCACAATTCAACATTAGGGATAAGAATCCACTTGACAATCTACTTCCATTCTGTTTCTGACCCTTTGTCTCCCTCTGCCTGATAGATGAGCTGAACATGCAGTACCATGCAAGATGGCAGGGCTCTGGGGCTGGAACAATCTCCTAAGAAGAGACCCACTCGGGTTACAAAGGGCCCAGTTCTAAAGAGACTATCCCAGATTTGGGGCAAAAGATGAGCGGCCATTTTAATACTCCTTCCTTCTCTCTTTGTACGTGTGTTCATGGATAATTCAGCAATTGCATATTTATTAGCTGTTAGGGGCCAACAGCAGAAGAGAAGGTTGCCAGTGCCTGCTCTTTCAAAGCCTCTGTGGGAATCAGAGTACTGAGTAGGTGGGTCTCTGGTTTGCCTTCCTACCTTCTAAATTGTTCTGCTTTTGACCGGGTAACTAAGAAAAGGTGGGGGAGAGAGAGACACAAGTCCCTACTTATGAGGAGCTTAGAGTCAAGATCTTCAGGAGTTAACACTTGTCATCCTCACTTTCCAGGGCTTCCTTTCCATTCATATTTCTTCCTTAATTGCCAGAAGATTCCATACTGCGCAATATCCTCCCCAAATGCTGTATCATTAATGTAGAGCAAAGCTGGGAAATGCAGCAAATGTATCCATAAACCAACAGATGCCTTTGAACGAAACGCTTTCATTTTCTGTGTTCTCCTAATGTAAACAATTCAGAAGAAGCCTCCAAGTGGATCAGGTTAGTGCTGGATCCATTTGAGATCCTAGAATGGTTGACTTAAGGGGTCATGCTGAAGGGGTCATTACTCGCTCCCTCCCCCCCTCACACATATAGAAACATAAACATTCGATCTCTCTTTAACTGCATTCACAATTCAATGGGCTTGCTTTGCCTTTTTCTTGGTTGCTGTGGAAACTGAGACACCCAGGCAACTCATCTTTTCCAGGGATTGTGTCCTCTCTACCCCAATTTTTTTCTCTGAGAAATTCACCGTACAGAACAATCATCCCCTTTCCATGTAGCATTAACAGCTGCTCACCACCATGGAGATTTGAAAGCATGACTTCCCCTTGAGAATCCTGGGACAAAAACAGCCTATTTTATTCTATAAGTTTTTGGGGTGTGTTCATGTATCTTAAGCCACTCTGGATTCTTAGCAATTGCCTGACGAGTCCCTGCTGAGCCTATCTGGTGGAGCAGTTAAGGTAGCAAGCTGCAACATGGGAGACCAAAGATTCTAGTCCCCCGAGCCTCATAGCCAGTTGGGTGACCTTGGGCCAGTCACTCTCTCAGCCCGAGGAAAAAGGCAATGGCAAACCACTTCTGAAATCTTGCCAAGAAAACTGCAAGGACAGTCCAGCAAGACAAAAAGCTGACTTGAAGACACCAAAATAAATACATAAATAATTTTTTTAAAAAAAACTCTGTAATCACTTACATACTGTCCTTACAAATATTAATTCTCCAAACTTATTTTAAAAAATCATATATTTTATAAACTAAGATCTGGTTTGCATTCTGAAGGATTCCAAAACAGCACAATACAATTGGGTTAATTTCCATGGTCACAAACAACTTGGAGCCCAAATACAAATTTTGATTCAGAATCCAAATGTCCATGTAATCCTTCTGACTGTCCCTGGAAATTAACTATAGTCTAGATTCTCTTTGACAGAACTGGGTGAAAAGTGCAGGAAAAGTAGTCCCATCTGAGGGGATAAGGAATGCCAAATTTCAAATAAATAGGTTCAGGGACTTTAAGACACACAAACACAAAACACCTTCAACTTTTATGTTTATTTTCAGACTTTTTCTTCAGACTCAGGAATTTCCAGCAAAATAGCTGCCTCTGCAATGATCAAACCTGCTGTTTCAGAGGAGGATATACATGAGGGCTGTCCAAGAGAGGCTTTGATAATTTGAGCATGTTCCCTTTTTTGTGGCAATTAATATTAAAATGACATGGAGATTAGAAGTGGCTCTAGTTAAGAAGCCGGCAAGGTTTCAGGAGAGTTAATGAGCTGGGTTTGGGGGAACAACGGATATAGATATGGGAAGAGAGGAGAGTAAATCTTTTTAACAGGAGAATCATGACTGAAGCCAGTCAAGTTGGATGCACATTGACCTAAGAGTAATTGTAAGCTCTTTGGCGCAGGGGATGCATTCTCTTTACCCCCACATTGTGCATTTAATACATTAATTAGTTTCTTTTTTTAAAAAAAACTGGTAAGGGTCTCCTTTGCGGAACATAATCATTCCCTTTCCTTCAAAGGTGTCAATGTCAGTCAGCCAGCCTTTCCTCCCTTTCCCTCCCAGTCCTCCCATGCCAAGGCTGATGTCAGCTTCTCAGGGAATGAGCCAGGTTGCTAGGCAACATTGCCCAGCAGTGCCTGACACGTGAGGTAGACCGGCATGGGCATGTGACGGGCTTGCCTTTATAAATGGGACCCTGTGCAGAGTGGCAGCACAACCTTAGCACCAAATGGGGCAAATCATTTGGCAAAGATTCCTGGAGAGGCACGGAACTTGAAAGGAACACCCCTCCCCATTTGCTATTGGTTTACCCCAAGAAAGCTTGGTTGCTGTTAAAAATACTTTGGATTCCATCAGAGCATCCCTTTATGATGATCTTTTGGAGGAGGAAACAAAAACCTGCAGTCAAAAGTTAGCCCAGGCAGTGGCAGTCCCTCCAGAAATAACACTCTCCAAAACTTTTTTTCCTTTTTAAAGAAGTGTTAAGCATCTGAATTGATGCACCTCCATTTCAGATGGTTCAGTTGATGCCAGAAGACAGAAATTTATCTTGCATTGAATATATTGAGCATACATTTCAGGGGATTATACTGAACCTAAGTGAACTGCCGTTAGAGCCAAAGACTTGGATAGATGGTTCTAATCTAGGCTGACTAATAGGGAACTCATTTGACCTCAAAAAACCATGGTACTGCTACAGGTAATACCATACCTTATACCAGGGGTGTCCAGCCTTGGCAAGACCACAAAAGATGATTGGGGAGGAGACAGCATGAGGGGCCCCAACATTTTCCTTAAATTTGATCACGGAACATGAACTGCTGCCGTACAAGCCTATCCATTATTCCACACTGGCTTTGTGGTGGGATGTAGTCTGGATTCCCATGAGGGAGGGGCTGAATCCCAGAGGACAAAGAAATCGCTGACTTCAGATGGTTTGATTGGCGGGAAGAGAGTTAAGACGGCTCCTCCCTAGCAATTCTCAGGGTTTATCTTTAGCGATGCAAGTTGTTGCCTTAGTCTGGCAAGAATTCTGTCCAGAGGGGAGGAACAATAAAGGAAACTGTTCAAAAGTAATTCTACGTGTTTTTCTTGGTTCTTGGGGCCTGACAGGCATTAATCATATACAGTTTACGACATTATACCTAGGAGGCCTAGGTACATTGCGACTGTTTGTGTTTGTTCCACTCGCAAGGGGGGCTGCCAACCTTTTTCAGGCTCTTCCAAACAACATAATAAGAACAGCCCTAACAAAGCTTTCTCTAAACCCATCCCTTCCCTCTTGCAGCTCTCATTATGATGGCATTTAAATACAGCCTTGACTACCCTAATTCCTGCTCAGCAGAATTATTCTGACATGTGCGAGAGAACACCCCCAGCCTGCTATCATCGGAAAGGCACTGGCTTTGTGATCAGAGACTTAATTGCTACGCTTATGCCTTTCTGACACTCTGAACTTAAGTTACTGCAGGAGGGTGACCTTGCAACTAAGGATGGGGGTGGCAGCAGATTAGGAGAGAAGGCAAGCCCCAAGCACACAAGGAATCTGACATCGAGAGTGTACCTTGGCTTAGTCGGACACAAGCCTGCGATTGTGCGAAACACCTACTTTAGAAACGGCATGCCTGCTTTTCTTTTGTAGTGATAATTGGGCGTTGGAACATTTTAGAAAGGGGGCAAGGAAAGTGGTTGGTGATGTGTATTTGTGTGGGGGGAGAGGGGGCAATGGCTGTTAGAAATAGCAACACTGCAACAGCAAGCTGAGAAACAAATGGAATTTTATTCCACGGAAACCAGATTCCACCCTTGTAACTCGTTGCCTGAAGGAAACCTCAATGCGCTGACTTACTTTGATTTGAAGACATTTTGAGCACAAGCAAACTTTCTGCCATCCTGAAAAGCTTACCGTATATCAAATTGATTTTCTTCCTCTAAAATATTTTTGATTATAAAAGATTGTACAACTTAGTTGAGGCCATAGTAGACATTTTGTGGAAACACTGCAATATAGTAACTAAACATAGACTCTGAGCTACTGAGCCTTATGGATAAAATTAGTATTGTTGCTAATTAAATCCTTGTCTTCTGCTGAAAATAAGCTCAGCTAACTGAATCATCAACTGAACTAGTATCTTTCTCCTACTTTCCTTATCGTCCTAATATTGGTTTTCCAATTTTAAGATTTAGATTACAACAGCCTACCTATTTCTATGGACTTTGTCAAATAGGTCAGGCCAATTTCTAGCAATATTGCACAAGGAACATGACCAATGCTAAGGAATGAAGGAATGTTTAGTTCAATAGCTGGATAGATACAGTATTATCACACCAGATGTAAAGTACCACCCACATGGTTTAAGATAGCAATCCCCTAGCAGGAAATAAATCTATAGTATAGAGATTTATTTCATACCAGCAGATTGCTACCTTAATGCTACAGGCGGATTTAGTAGCTTCGGTGACTCTTGATGCAAGAGACTGATGTAAATTGGAATATAAGCTCCACGTAAAGTCATCTTTGCCAACAAAATCAAAAGGGGAGAGG